TTCTGGATGCGGATCCGGCCCTGAAAGCACATATTTGGTTTGGAGGGGTGAGCCGTTCCACCGCATCCCACCCCTTTTAACAACACAACCCCATCACCTCTCCGACAGGCCGTGCAAACCCCTTTATTTCCCCCCATCGCCAAACACCCTCGACTTGCAGCTCGTTAAACCTTAAGCGGGGTCATTAACGAACAGAAAGGCATCAGACGCTGCGAAATGCTGCAGGCTTCGCATTTATTGCAAAGGTGGAACGCACAGTTATCGCGCACGCCTTGGTTCCTTTGCGTCGCTTTGGGGGGTTTTAGCCCCTTCTCTCCCTTTGGGGTTGGGGTCGCCTCACCCCCTCCCCTGCCGCCCACCAAAGGGGAGCTTTGGGGAGGGATGGGGCCGAGCTGTCAGCGCCCCCCGGCCGCGCGCTTCCAGCCCTTGGGCATAACGCGCTGCAGGGCGGCGCGCACATGCGCGGGTCCCACGGTGGGACGTCGGCTCTCCTTCCTCAGCCTCTCGGCTTCCCTCTCCACCCTCCTGCAGACGTCCCTTAGGAAAGCCACCATCAGCGCTTGGGCTTCGCGGGACAGGAGCCTGCCGTCGTGCCTGAGCATCAGGCCGGGGTCGAAGGAAAGGCTGGGGGATCTTTTCTTCTGCCCTCGTTTGGGTTTGGGTTTTGTTTTCCTGTCGAATTTCACCCTCTTGACCTGGGGTCCCCTGCTTTCAGCCTTCTGACGCCTTCTTTTCTGGGGTCCCCCCCTCGGCCGGGGTCCCTTTCCCTTTTGGGGTCTTCTTTTCCTTCCCTCCGCGGACACCATGGCTCAGCTGCCCAGACCCCCAGAATCCAATGGAATTCTCCGCCCGTCCCCCTTCTATGCAAATCAGCATGCAAATGAGGAGCCCCGCGATTGGCCGAAGGAGCAATACCCGCCCCCCCCGCCCCCCCACCCCCCCCCCCCCCAACGGGAGCAACACCCAAGGGGGTTTCTTGGCTCCCCATGACGGCCGGGCACCCAATTAACCCCAATTAACGCACGATGGGGAAATGGAGCTGATGGCGCCTTTTTGGGGTGGGGAGGAAATGGACCAAAATCCCTCGGATCTGAACGTCTGTCCTCAGCTTTGCAATCACCACCAAACCCGGCTCTGCCCGTCAGCTGCCATGCAAATGACGGCTAATTACTTCGTTAACGATTCCACCCGAATCCACCCAATGGTGGCTGCCCAGGTTGGCTCCAAAGGGGCCGAGCCTGCGTTCATTAACAAAACCACTCATTAATTACCATCAAGGCCCAAACAGAGTTGGCAAAAGGCTGATTAGCATAATTTATTGCCTGCTAATGAGTGACGGAGTGGAACAACGGGGACTAGAAGCAAATCCTGGCCGCCCCGCTCACAAAATATGGCTTTTTTTCACCATAAATGCATGAAATCAACCCAGGGAGCCGCAGGATGGCGGCCCTGAGGCTCTGCTCCCCTTCGTTTGCCCTCATTAAACCAAATGGATCCACGTTTATCCTTCCAGTCCATCAGCGTTGATCCAAACTCATTCTCCTCGTTTACCCACATTCATCCCCATTCGCCCTTCTGACGTGCCCAAATTCGCCCTCCTCACGCTTCTAATTAACCCGAACCCGTCCAATTAACCCAAACCCGTCCAATTAACCCAAGTTTAATCCTCCCGATTGACCCAAACCCCCCCCTCAACGCTGCCCCCCCCACCCCTCTATCCCCACATGTCCCCATGTGTCGCAATGGGATTCGATGGCAGCCGTGCTTCCAGTCACCCTGGCGGAAGCAGCAGCAGGAAGATGGGAGGAACTCGTTATGCAATTAAAAGCTGCTCGTGCCCTGGCATTAAAGCCGGGCTGTGCTGATCTCTGATTCCTTACCCAAACAAAACCACCCCTCTGAAATCCCCTCTGGTCCCAGCGATGTCAGCAAGGCTCCCCTCCATGCAGTTCCCACATCAATCCAGGAATCCTTGCTTCATCCACAGCTCTGACGGTGTTGGGTTTGGGTTTGACAGCATGGAGGAGCGGATGGGTTTGGTTTAAATGGGGGGCATGGGGACGAAGCCCCCAGAGCAGCAAGAAATGGGGATGCAACGCTCAGGTCGTCCTTAGCGGGGTTGGATCCATGGGCATCCACCCATTGGTTTTAATGGGAGCACAGGGGGAGGTTTGTGGGCTGGTGGGGGGGATGTGGAGGGAGCAGCCCTGCGAGGAGCCCAGCTTGCCAAATTTGTGCTCTCACCACCCGTAGCACCGCAGGGAAAACCCACACCCTGACTTCTTATAGGGAAAAACCCATGGCAGGCAATGTTGTGAAACCTTCACGGCTGTGCAACCCATTTACCAGCAGTGGGAGAAGCCCCAGCTCAGCAGGATGCTCAGATGGGCTTTGAGGCCCATGGGGGCGGCCTTCAGGTCCTTGTCGACCCCTTTTAGGATTCGGGGCTCCCTCCGTTCCGTGACCATAAGCAGAAAACCCACAGCTTCCAGCTTCCGCCCCATCCACCAAAGCGCGGCTCCTCGGCCTCCCCTCAGCCCCGTGGTTCCGCAGAACCCATTAAGGGGGGCATTAATTAAAGCAATGAAAGGGGCCGCATGGAGCTGAGCGCGGGGGAAATCCCTGCTGATGGATGAAACTGAAAGAAAAGCATCGAAAAAGCACCGAAAAATAATAATAACTAAAAAAAAGAGGTACTGAAAGGAGCCAGGAAAGGAGGAGCAGAGCTGTGCTGTGGGGCCTGCGGGGCTTTTATGGCCGCGGCGTCGTGGTGGCCGTGGGGAGGAATTCCCAGCTTCTGCGGGCAGATTTGGGTTCTGACGTGAGCAGAGCCGAAAGCTTTGGAGAAAACGAATGATTTCTTGTATTTAAAGGGAAAGAATTGAGGTAGGAGAAAATGGCAGCGTCCCGCTTTGGGCATTTGGGCCAAGGCGCCTCTTGGTTTCTCTCTGCGCCAATGGAGGGAAGGCCAGCACGGCCCGAGTGATGGGATGCTCCAGATTGGGGATGGATTCCCATCTTTTCGGATGGGTTTCCACCTGGAGACGCCACTGTCGTCATTGCAGGGGATGTTCCAGGTGGGTTTCCATCTGGAGAAGCCACCATCACGACCAGAAGGGACATTTTGGATGGATTTCTATTCTGGATGCCTCCATCACAACCAGAAGGGACATTTTGGATGGATTTCCATCATTCTGGATGCCTCCATCACGACCAGAAGGGACATTTTGGATGGATTTCCACCTGCAGACACCTCCACCACGACCAGAAGGGAAATTCCAGGTGCCCTTCCATCATCTTCCACGCTTCCTTCCCGTAGCACAGGAGGGTGAGGCTGCCCTCTGTGCCTCCTCATGATCACGTCCCACGAATGGGCGGCTGGTGCTCGAAGGAGGTGAGTAAAAAGGAAAACAACACTAAAAGCAAACACAAAAGAACCCAACGTGAGCTCAGCCGCCGCTTCCCCTTCTTACGACACCACTGCTCTGCTTTCTTCCGGGCTGGACTTTTTTTTTCCTATCTTAAGCCAGGGTATAAAATGGAAACTGATCTCGGCAGGGGAGTCGCCTGCCTGCTGCAACCATGGCTGCCATGGGTGGTGAGTGGTTCCCCCCCCTGGGTTACGGCTTCCCTTCTTCCTGCTTTCCTCCAGCATCCCTTCGGCGTCGCCTCCTCGAGGCCCCGACCCCAAACCTTCCCGTCTCTCTGCTCTGTTTTACGACCCCGTAGAGTTCAGGTGTTTGGGGTTGGCACGTTGGATGGGATCCCCATTGTCTTCCCACAGCGTTTAGGGTTACTGTGTTGGGTGGGATGGGGATCTCCTCACCTCCAGGCCTCCTGTGCTCCCCACGTCGTCCAAAAGAATTTGGGGTTGGTTGGATTGGGATGGAGATCTCTTGACCCCCAGAAAAGATCTTTGTCTTCCACATCACCCTATAGGTTGTGGGGTTGGCACATGGGATGGGATGGAGATCTCTTGACCCCCAGAAAGGAACTCCTTTGTCTTCCACATCACCCCACAGCCTTTAGGGTTGTCATGTTGGATTGGGATGGAGATCTCTTGACCCCCAGAAAGGATCTTTGTCTTCCACATCACCCTATAGGTTGTGGGGTTGGCACGTGGGATGGGACGGAGATCTCTTGCCCCCCACAAAAGACCTCCTTTGCCTTCCTCCCCACCCCACAGCGCTCAGGGAGGCCACGCGGTGTGGGATGGAGGCCTCCTGATCCCTGAAGGAGATCTTTGTCTTCCACAGCACCCAAAGGTGCTCGGGGTCACCGCGCTGGGTGGGATGCAGGGAGCTCAAAGCCGCATCAGGACGCTGCCCTTCGGGGAGGTCGGGGCGTTGGATCAGGACAATTAGCGCCGTTTTCCTGCATCAATTTCAGCCACGCTTTTAAGGCAGCCCTGCTGTTAGCCGTGCTAATTACAGCAGCCGCTCTCTAATTACTTCACATGACCATCGTCAGCCCCTCCAGGAAAGCGAGGCTGATCCTACAGCTCTGAGAAGTCGCCTCCAGGGGAGCAGCCCTGGGCTCCAACCTCTGCCCATGACTTCGGATTGGGGCCGGTCCAGCCGGGCGCTGCTTTCAACACAGGTTTATCCCATGAATGAAGATGACTCACGATGCTGTTACAAAAGATATCGGCTTTTATTCTTTGTTTGCTTGCTTTTTTCTCTTCCTCCTTCTCTTCTTCCTCATCTTCTTTCCCCAGAAAGAAACTGGAAAAGAAAATGAAAGTAGAACAAAAAAAAAAAACAACCCAGGAGCTCCCTGCTGGGGTTTTTTGTTGGCACTTCTGTCCCTTACCTTCACCTGCATGGTGTCACCGTGTAAGATCACGGCTTACAGGTGTAAAATCCCTCTGCGCCACCCCTCCTCCCTCCATTGTGCAGCCCTTGAGGGTTAAAGAATGGGATAAATCGAGGGGAGGAGGCAGCGGGCGCAGCCATCCAGCCACCTGAATGAACCGCCTCCCTTTCCTCGCACGCCGGAAGATGCTTAATTACCGTCCCTCGTTAGCCCTCTTCCCAACGCTTCTCCTACTGGGACTCGCCAGCGCCAAGAGGTTCCCGTGCTTCCCTGAGTATTGCCTCCGTGACCGGGACTACGAGGAGCTGCTGGGCATCGTGAAGCACGGGCTGGAGCCCACGAGGCGCCCATCTGACGTGGTCGTGGTCGGGGCTGGGATCAGCGGGCTGACGGCAGCCAAGCTGCTGCGGGATGCCGGCCATAAGGTGAGGGGGGGCGAGTTTTAGGGGAGGGGGTGCTGGTAGCAAAGGGTTGCCAGCAGGGAGGGGGAAGGCGTTGATGCTGGGGGGGGGGGGAAAGGGGGGATTCGGTGTATTGCTGGGGGGTCAGTGCATTGCTGGGGGGATCAGTGCATTGCTGGGGGGCAATCGATGCACTGCTGGGGGATCGATGCACTGCTGGGGGATCGATGCATTGCTGGGGGATCGATGCATTGCTGGGGGATCGATGCATTGCCGGGGGATCGATGCATTGCAGGGGGGGTTCAATGCATTTCTGGGGGGCAATCGATGCGTTTCCAGGTTGGCTTGCTGGAAGAACCCCCAAACCCCATTTTCCATCTGTACCCTTTCCAGGTGACCGTTCTGGAAACCAGCCATAGGGTGGGTGGGAGGATCAGGACGTACCGTGAGAAGGACTGGTACGTGGAGCTGGGAGCCATGCGCCTGCCGAGCAAACACAGGTGAGCTGCAGTCCTCCGTCCTTCCCACGGCTGGTTTGTTGCAAGTCACGACCCCAAAAGCCGGCTGAGATCCCACCAGTTGGGCACCCAACCGTTGTGTGAGGAGCCAAGCAGGGCATGAGCCAAAATGCTGTGGGAAGAACCCATGGGGCGCCCTGAACTCAACATGGTGTGGGATCAGAGCCCTCCTCCTCTTCCAGCTCTTGGCTCTCTCCCACCCCGACCAATTCTGCATTAATTCTTGCTCCCCATGGCATCCTTGCGGGTCTCTCCTTTCCCTGTGCACTGAGGCAGCAAAAATACAGAGGTCGGAGTGCCTGGAATACCCAAAATCTGTGCTTAAAGGCCAAAGCTTTTGGTGGCTGCGCCGACGCCATCAATGCAGAAACGTCCTGCAATGCCAAAATCAAACATGTGTGCATTGAGGTTCCCAATAGGAAAATGCCCCTTCCAGGATTCTCTGTGAGGCTTCAGCAGCGCTTCCCACCTCCTCTGCTCCCTTCCAGGCTGGTGCGTGAGTTTATAAAGCAGTTTGACCTGAAGCTCAATCCGTTCCTCCAGACGGATGACAACGCCTGGTATTTTGTGAACGGCATCCGAGCCAAAGTGGCAGAAGTGAACAGGAACCCCGACATCCTGAATTACACCCTGAGGCCGGCGGAGAGGGGCAAAAGCGCCAGCCAGCTCTACAGGGAAGCTCTGCATTCGGTAGGTGGCCATGGAGCCGACCCAGTTGGCGTGGGGTCACCAGGGCGAGCCAGCAGGAGGAGCTCGGCCCCTCACCAAACCCCACGCTGGCACCTCAGGTCCCACAGAACAGAATTGCATTGGGAAACGCTCTTTTTTTTGGGTGCCTCCTCGACTCCATCAATATTTATTTCCTCTGCAGGCTTTCAAGGAGTTCCAGACCATGGACTGCAAGGAGTATCTGGCTAAACACGACTCCTTCTCCACCAAGGTAATGGGCGATTCGTAGGGGGTGATTTCTTGCCATCCAGCTGGTGGAGAGGGGGCAGATTGGGTCCAAAATTCCCACTTTGCTCATTCTGAGATCCGCCCGCCTCCATTGGAGGAGGCACCGATCCACCAGGGCCGCATCTTGATGGATCCAAGCGGATCAGGGCACAGATTTTGGCTGGGGGTCGACGCCGCGCTGAGGCGATGACTTCGGGCCCCGACTTCGTGTTGTGTTCTGTAGGAATATTTGATTAAAGTTGGGAATCTGAGCCGGGGAGCTGTGCAGATGATCGGAGATTTGCTCAACGAGGAGTCGGGCTTTTATCTGTCCTTCCTCGCCTCGCTGTGGGATTTCGACATCTTCTCTCATGGGGAGAGGTGAGACATGGTTACTTATGGGGGGAGGTGAGACATGGTTTCTTATGGGGGGAGGAAGGCATCGTTTCTTATGGGGGGAGGTAAGACATGGTTTCTTATGGGGGGAGGTCAGACATGGTTTCTTATGGGGGGAGGAAGGCATCGTTTCTTATGGGGTAGGTGAGACTTTTCCTGCAGAGCCTCCCTTGGAGCTGCTCTACAAAATGCAATGAAATAGGGAATTTTAGCGTCGTTTCGATGCCCCAATGGACCGTCCTCCCTCAGAGGGTCCCTCCAGGAGGGATTTCACCACTCCAGCCCCTGCATGGAGTTCAAAACCCGACGCTTTCCCTTCTTCTCCTCCCTTCCAGCTTCGACGAAATCACGGGAGGTTTCGACCAGCTGCCCAAAGCCTTCCACAAAGCGCTGCCGGGCGCCGTCAGGCTCAATTGCACGGTGGAAAAGATCATGACGAAGGGAGGGAAGGTGCGGGTGTTCTACCGCGCTCCGGATACCCTCGCCCCCAGCATAGAGACTGCAGACTACGTCCTCGTCACCTCCTCGGCCAAAGCCACCAGGCACATCCAGTTCTTCCCCCCTCTCTCCCCTACCAAAAACGACGCCCTGCGCTCCATCCATTACGCCAGCGCTTCCAAAATCGCTTTGGCTTGCACCGAGAAGTTCTGGGAGAAAGACGGCATTCGAGGAGGGCAATCCATCACCGACCGCCCCTCCAGGTTTATCTACTACCCCAACCACAACTTCTCCAGCGGGGTCGGGGTCGTCTTGGCCTCCTACACCTGGAACGACGACGCCGAGTTCCTCGCGCCTTTGGCGGATGAGGAATACGTGGATCTGGTCCTCCAGGACCTGGCGGACATCCACCAGGTGAGCAAGAGTTACCTGCAGTACGCCTGCGACCGCTACGTGATACAGAAGTGGCAGCTGGACAGGCATTCGCTGGGAGCCTTCGCTGCCTTCACGCCCTACCAGTTCACCGATTACTCGCAGGCCCTCTTTGAGCACGAGGGCAGGGTGCATTTTGCGGGAGAGCACGCGGCCCAGCCGCACGCCTGGATCGACACCGCCATGAAAGCCGCCGTGAGGGCAGCGAGCAACATCCACGACGACAGCGAAACCCAAAGCCTCCGCCTCGGCCCCACGGAAGGCGGCGGGGAGAAGGGGGAGCTGTGAGCTGGCGGGGTTGGGGGTCGCAATGTTCTTTCAGTGAGGTCAATCCCTTTCCATGAGGCCAACAGCGCGTTGGCAGGAAAGGTGTTAAAGGAAAATAATTGAGGGGAAAAATAATACTTCCTCATATGGGACACTGGCAGCCTCCTGGTCCAACACTCAGGAAAGGGGGGGATGACTGAAGGAGAGCCAACTTCGCGTAGGTTCTGCGGCCTCGACGCAACGCAGCGAGTCCCATTTTGTGCAGGGAATGGCTCAGGTGGAATAAAATCATCCTTTCCCACTCTCTTGCTTCTTTCGCACCCCCGTCTCCCCATAGAGAGGGGTCTCATGGTGGATGTTTCATCCCACCTCCCTTCGGCCGTGTAGGAACTCATCAGCTTTCATCAGGCTCCTCCTCCCCTTCCAGAGTTTGGGAGATAACTCATTGCTCCTGAGTTGTCTTCTCTCTGCATAGCCCAACCCCATGGCTCCCAACTCAACCCTATGGCTCCCAACCCAACCCCACGGCTCCCAACTCAACACTACTGATCCAAACCAAACCCCATGGCTCCCAAACCAACCCCATGGCTCCCAACCCAACCTCATGGCTCTCAACCCAACCCCACTGCTCCCAACCCAACCCCATTGCTCCCAACCCAACCCCATGGCTCTCAACCCAACCCCACAGCTCCCAACCCAACTCTATGGCTCCCAACTCAACCCCACTGCTCCCAACTCAACCCCATGGCTCCCAACTCAACACTACAGCTCCTAACCCAACCCCACTGTTCCAAACCCAACCCCACTGCTCTCAACCCAACCCTAGGGCTCACAGCTCATCACTCCTCTTGCATCCCAACACGGCAGATCTCAAGTCATCCTTCTCTTTGTGTAACCCAACACCACTCCATCCAACCACCGTCAGGATAAGACCCCGATCCCCACCCCCACGCTCTCTTGCAGCCCATCTCCAGCCCAGCTGAGCCCAAAGCACGGCCAACACCAGCTTACAAAGGCAGATCTAACGCTGTGAACACCAAACTCCAGGCCAGGAGCCACACAGCCGACTCACACCAACGCACCAGCGGGGTTTCAGCCGAGTTCCTCCTTTCGCCAATAACCGCTGCCCCACATTTCATAACCCTGCAAACCACTGCACCCAGATGATCCCCCGTGGGTTTCTAGCAGGTGTTGCACAGGCAAAGATTTACTGTAGCTGAAGGCAGCTCAGTACGGGCAATAAATTAGCAGAACAATCAACGTTTGCGTACAGAGAGCCTTACAAAGCTCTCTAATTCTTTTTAGGGGGGACAGAATGAGACCCGTCCACCACTAATCACCAATTTGCTTCGGAATGCAAAATCCCGTTGCTGATCATCATTGGTTCCCCTTTATTTGTGCAGAAATCGTGATAAACGTTCGTGCTTCACCCCAAAAAGCAGTGCGATGACCTGGGACGCATTTTTAACCTTTTGGGGTGATGCAAGACGACGCGCAAACCTTCAGACCAGGGCAAGTGAGGGGTTGCATCAGGGCAGAAATGGGATCATAAGGGTCAGCAGCACCTTCTTAAGCTCGGGACAAAGCCGAGCACAACGTGAAGCATTGGTTGCAACAGGAGGAAACCCGAAACGACAGGAAAAAGGGGAGAAAATAGGGGGATTGCATCTTCCTGTGGCTTCCATTCTTGGGGCATCACCTCCGTAACCCAAGGAATTGGGTTTCAGCACAAGCAGCTGCTTTATTCAACCTCAAACGGGGCTGCCGGAAGCAATCGGTGTTAATTAGCACGCTGAT